GTGTGTGTGTGTGTGTGTGTGTGTGACCTAAATCTTAAAGAAAGCCAGGCATGTGAAGCAGTGGACAAACAGTGTGTGTTTGAGCTGTATATGGTTGTGTGTGTTAGTGTGTGTGTGTGTGTGTGTGTGTGTGTGTGTGTGTCAGAGCGCACTCATTTTTCTCATGAATGCTCGTGGGCAGAGGCAGGGCCAGTAACGAGGGGAGATGAGAGAAGACAAAAAGGGAGGGAGTGAGCGATGATGCAGCCAATCTAAAAATAGCACCGCCTCCATACCCCTTCTGCCCCCAACGCCGCCGCTCGTCCCCTCCGCAATCCCTCCATCTCTTTCCTCCATCTCTTCATCATCTCTCTCCTTAATGAAAAAGCCTGCAAGTGGATGGAGGGGGGGATTGAGGTGTTACTATCCTCCTCCACACATCCTTTGGTCCATGGAGAGAGGAGTGCATAAGTCTAAAGACGGACCAGAGAAAGGGGACGGAGGGAGGGCGAGGGAAACAGAAAGGTTCTGCGTGCTTGCTAACAAACTGTTCTAGTTTGACATCAAGTCACAGACTCCAAATGTCAGCTGAAGATGTCCTCTCAGTTTCTCTTTAAAGTGGGAATTAGTGGTACAGCTTAGTAGCAGAAATGACTGTTTATTACCATATTGAGTCACTTTTGTTATTGCTCATTAATACAAGTGACTCAGGCATTACTTCATCTGGTAAGATGAACGGCTGTCAAAACTCACTGTACGGTGCATGCTGTGTCCCTACATTTGAACAAAAAACTGCCTGGAACTCACGAGAGAGCTACAAATCTCTGCTGATTGCTTTCCTCAGTCTCAAGACGAACATTTAAGTGGCAAAAACCTGCTACGGTAGCAGTTTGTTTGCATTGCGATACATAACCTCAATGCCTTGATGTGAAAGGTCACTCGTTCTTCTTAAATACTGTGTTTAAATAAAAAGTTCTTCTTGAGGTCTATGTGACTTCATGGGTGACTTGAATTAAATATTAAATTCAAAAAGTCAATTCAAAGTGCAGTGCAAATGCAGGCAGTCTAGGCCATATTCATATTCTCAACAACACTTTAAACAACAGTAATAGTCAACAGCCATACTTGCAACTCTGTGAGGCTGTTCTAAATGCTAATGAAAACATGCTAATCTGCTAATCTGATATTTAGCAAGTACATTGTTTACCTTGTTTAGCATCTTAGCATTCTGACAATTACTAATTACACAGTATAGCCTAGGCTGATGGGAATGCCATTCGTTTTGCAGGTATTTAGTATAAACCAAAGTGACATATGGCCAAATTGAATATTCTTCTGCACTAAATGAAAGAGTCAGGGGATCACTAAGGGGAGGGGGGATATCCGCGTCAGTATGAAATTTCATGGCAATCTATGACATTTATTTTTTCAGCTCATACTTAATGAGAAGGAAAATACACATCAGGATTAATTTCTCTGTTCTGATATAAACAAGTCTTAAAGGACCAGTGTGTAGGATTTAGTGGCATCTAGGAGATTGCAACTAATTGAACACCAACACCATGCGAAAGGCCCTGCAGCCATTGTTTGGTTCGTCCTTTCTGGGATACTGTAGGAACATGGTGGTTCAACATGGCGGACTGGTGACCCGTGGCTATAGATAAAAAACGGCTCATTCTAAGGTAACAAAAACACAACACTTCCTTTATTCAGGTGATTTATAGGCCTATAGAGGTAAAAATAAAATAAGACACGTAGCTGGGCAGGCACTGGGATAAAGGAAGGCGTGGAAAATGGGGATTTCCCTCAAAGGATGATAATAATATCAAACTATATCAAAGCAAGGTGACTATTTTCTTACTTTCTCTCTTTACTTTTTCTCCTCACATGTCAAATGGATTGTACCTCAGAAGTCTCAGTCTTGACATAATGAAGTAAATTTAACAGACTTAGGTTGTGCTTCTACTGGCACTTCAGATGTTCAGGACTCGGAGTTAGCAGCGAAAATGTTGTATCCCAAGTGTGGACCAGACAGTGGAAAGAAGGGCTGGAAAGCAGATAAAGAAGGAAAGGGTGTAAGAGAAAAACTGTGCTGTAATCCCCATTGTGACTGACATCCCTGTTTCCTCCCTGCCTGGTTGTTGGCCTTCATTGGTCTGGGCTGTCAGTGGATGTACAGTCTATTGTGTGCTCTTCCTTTGTATCGCTGTCATTTGTCACATAAACAGAGACACAACAGCTGGGTAAACTGTCCAAGCACCTCACTAACCCAAGGTTCACTTCTAGCTTTCTGTCTCTCTTTTACTCTCTCAATCTCACACACACACACACACACACATTCAGAATCCATCACTCACCACAGCAAAATCCACACACAGACTGCAGACAAACATAAACACAGTCAATGTCGGCCTTATCCAGACAGAATTAGCTCCCTGGAGGTTTAGTCTGAGGGTTTGTCAGTTGGATGGAGTTGTCTGATCTCCTGTTATCAACTGAAGTACAAAGTAGACTGCTACACTGCACTGCAGGGTGGAATACTAACACTGTAGGTGTTATGTATGTGTTGTCTCATATTTATGCCCTCGGAAAGGGTGTTTCAGTAACGCTGTACTGATTGGAGGAGGAGAGGAGAGAAAAGAGGGATTAGATGGTATCTTAGTAACCTGCTCTTGTTATTGACTCCATTTTGTAGCCCTTTGCATCTCCTCTCCTCGAGGCAAAGGCGGACAGGAGAAGAAAATACAAGAAAGGACATGGGAGCGAGGATGAAAGGAGAGGAATGCAGAGGAGCGTAAATAGGCGAGGGATCAGATGCTATCATAGTAAACTCCTCCTACAGTACAATTGACTCCATTTTGTCGCTGTCCTTGTTCTTCCACCACCTTAGACTGACCAACCCTGTCAGGATAAAACCTCTCCAGCACGTTCTTACAATTAAGGAAATCACTATTAGATTTTTAACTTGCCACCATACATTTTTTTAAATTAAACATTTGGTTTAAGAGGGTTTTAATACAGCCAAGAGTCACAAGGTGACACCGTGTAATCCACCAGCTGAATTAAAGACGAGAAATTTTACATTTTTGTATTATATTTATATATTATATCTTTTTGTATTATATATATTTGTTTGTTAAAACAATACACAATATTGAAAAGTCTTTAAAAATGTTTTTTTTACATGCTTAAAGAAGTGCAGTGTGGAACAACGTGTCTTGAGTTACTTTTAGCATGTGCAGGCAGACACAGCATAAGCACACATTAGGTTTATATAAAGTCCCTGTATAGGTGCAGGATATTTATGAGAAAGCCTGTTTTTGATGGCAATGTGTTTTCAGATTCTATAAGTGTTGTTTTTAGAGAAATTTCTTAAAACTACACTTTTTGTAAATAAGTTTGCAATATAAAGTTAAAAGTGATGGGATCTCAGAACAAATTTTTTTTTTTTTTAATTCAGTGGTTACAAGTTTAAAGTAACTTAACTCAAAGCTTGTCCAGGTGTTTAGGTTCAGGTAAATTGTTTCTCATAAGAGGTACACCTATATCTCTTTCCCCACAAACAGAAATAATCTGAATCCAGCAGATTGCACCAGATGCAGGATTTAAAGAAACTGTTCAACATTTTTTTTAATGATTAATAATTAGCATGTTAAATCTTGTTTGGTAGTACTGACGAGAACTAAAAGAAAATTTTACACTCGCTGTTTCCCCATTTCCAGTCTTTATGCTATGCTAAGCTAACTCGCTGTAGTTTTTTATTTATTTGGACTATTATATGACACTAAATATGGTAGAGGTCAGCAGTGCCCTGGTCCACTTGGAGGCCTCCTGTGTAGAAAAAGGTTGAAACAAAATTAAAAGGTGGAGGGATGTGTAAATGATGATTAAATCCTATTTTCACACAATTTTAACAGATTGTCTAATGTATGATTATTTTCTGAATCGGATATAGCCTCTATATCGTCATTCACATAACATCTTTGCTAAGCATTATAAATGTATTAATTATTTCACTGTGTGTTCAGTAGCTGTCATACTAAATTGCAGAATAGCAGAGAAAGGCAAATGTTTCTGCAGTCAAACTCCATATTTGAAAAGAAAACCCAGAGGCACATTTGGAAAAACCTGTTTGTGTAAGACACGAGGGATTATTCATAAAACTCCCCTGCAGGGTTGTCATGACATTATGGGCTGAGAGCGTCACGCTGAAGAATTTTCTTATTCATAAATTACCCGGTCATTCTAAATATACCGTCTGACTACAGCAGGTGGTATTCTTTGGGGCTGTAAAGGGCTTTTATGAATTATTATAAAAAATGGAGTGGAGTGGAGTGGAGAAAAGGCTGACTTCATGGTATACAAATACAATACTGAACAGAGAGTTCACATAAGGGAATGAAAAAACAATTGTTGATTCTCTTAGTATATACAGATTCATGAAAAAATAACAGGATTATAGCAAGTAGACTCCTAACACAGACAAAACATGTGCTCAATTCAATTATTCAACAAAAAAACCCCACTATAGTAAAGCTTTAAAACAGTTAGAAAGCTTTTTAATAGGATGAATGAAGAGTAATTCATGTCCCCACATCTTTGGGGACAGTAAAGGGGTGTGTTGTGTAGCATTGTGTCATTTGACATATGTGGCACAGATAGAAGACAGGACGGATAGAAGAAGGAGTTTAAGTGCAGTAACTAGTTTGTGCTGATTTGGGGACATACTGTGATAAAAGTGCTGCTTTTCTGGATTGTAGATTCTGGGAAATAGGAGGGTGGTGTATCCTGATGTGTGTGAAGACACCGCTGGGCTTAAAAATGTTAGATATGGGTCTTTTGGTGCGCCACGCTCAGCCTCTGTGTTGCCTTTAACAGTAAAAAGAACAAAAATCCCTTTCAGATTGTATCCTGTTTATTAAGGCTCTTTTATCCAAAGCTTCTGAACGCACCATGTGCCCCAAAGGGCTGCCTTATTTCTTCTCTCACAGTCCCATCCCTTCTTCTTTTCTCCTCTGCAGCTTTTTTCCATCGTGATCTTCGGCTGCATCGCCAACGAGGGCTACATCAACCGCCCCAATGAAGTGGAGGAGTATTGCATCTTCAACCGCAACCAGAACGCCTGCAATTATGGCGTTGTTATGGGCTCCATGGCCTTTCTCTGCTGCATGGCCTTCCTGGCTCTGGATGTCTACTTTCCCCAGATAAGCAGCGTCAAAGACCGTAAGAAGGCAGTGCTGGCTGACATCGGGTTGTCAGGTAAACCTATTATCTATACACACACACTTTCCTTAATGTCTAATAAAAATTCAACATAGTGGATAGTTTTTGTGAAGCGCCTTATTTTCCTTTGTATTTTTAACACTCATATTTGTAGACTATTTTTTCAGACATTTAAAGATTAAATGAGATTAGGCATTTATCACTTAGTAAGCCTATACAAATACAGACTGGGCTGTATTATAATAACCACGTAAACCTCTGCCAAGTGCCACACTAAAAGAAAAGCCATCTGATTTTTTCAGGTCAGGTAAAGATTCATTAGATTATGAATGTAATATGTTTTCTTGTTAAATGCACTTCCCACATACTCTCTATGGAATAGTGAGGCTTCTTAAGAGTAAATGAAAATGGGTATAAAGACACTAGAATTGATACAAATTAACTTGGGTTAAGTTAAATAGCCCTTTCAAAAAAGATTCATAAAGCGATGAGCAGCTTGTAAAACACGTTGCAGCTAATAAAATAATCAAATAAATGGCAATAAGAGAGCCCATGTGCCACCAATGCAGTTTTCTAGCTTTCAGTACCACCCAAAGACATGCCAAGATTGGGTCAATGACCCAAGGATTTTACATTTTATGGAAGTTAGTTATTAAAGTGTTATTAAATTAGTTTATTAAGGTTGTTATAGCTCACATTACAACAAATTCATCAGATAAGAAAGAGACTAAAATAGGCTAAAAGCTACATAGCACTCCTTGCACTGCAATGTGAGCAACCCTTTTGAAAGTACAGTCATTTGACACAATGGTAATAGATGGATAGAGGGATAATGTGTGAGAAAATTTGGCCTCATAAATGAGTTTATCAATAGAAAAGTTAATTTTGAATGTTACATACATGCTGTATCAGCATTGCCCTCAAAGCATACATCTCTACTCTTTCACACTAGTTTTGTGCTACCAGACGGCAATGCATTAGGGTAGGGGGTCAAGGTGCTTTTCTTGCAGGTGAGTTATATCAGTTTAAAAGGAAGAACATTCCCTTTTTCCTAGACAGATCAAAGGCCTGCAAATACCCCACTATCAGAGTAAATATGAGCACTCTTTTGAGTCTGTGGCCTAAAAAGATTACATTTTAGAGATTGCAGAGATTCGTAGTTAGGTTATCATCACAACAAAAGAAGAGAAGGTACGAGAGGGATAATGAGGAGAGGAGTACTCTTCTGGCGCTAACAAGCCTCTGAGACATTGTGCTTTGGTGTCTCAGCCAGTGGCCTCCTCTACTCCTCTGCTGCACTGCTTCTGCAGTGAACTCAGACATGATGACAAGATAGTCAAGTGATGAGTCAGTTAATGAGGCCGTTCCTGTCACATACAAGATTCTCCTTCCCTATTTTCATCACTCATACACTTTCTGTCTCCCTCTCTCTCTCTCCCACTATCTCTGTGTTGTCATATGAAATGCTTTGTACCGTACTGAAACAAGGGAACATCTGGTACATGTGTCCTGATTGAACCTGGATGTTTCTGATCTTCTGTCTCCCCCACTGCCACACTTCCAACTGCAGTAGATGTGATGGGATGATGTTTAAATCCCCTTCATATTCATGTATAATTACAACAAACAACTGGCCAGCAGGATGGAACCGTATCTGGTTTTTGGGCTTAATTTCTGATGTTTGTTTTCTCATTTTACGTGAGGCGTTCCACAGGGGTCGATCTTTGGTCCGTTGTCATTTTCATTCTTCTTCATTGTTATGTTGATAATGTACAATTTCATTTCCTCTTTTGACCTCAAGCTGTAGCAGTTTAGCTTTCTTGGTCTTCCTTTCCTATGAAAGTGTCAGTCCAGGAAAGCTTTACAATCTTTACAATGCCCAGCACCTTCTATTCTGTGACCCTCGATCAAGATGCAAACAAATAAGCATTTTTGCCAAAAAGTCCAAGTATTCTTTTACCAGTTCTATTCAGTTAGAAACATCTCTAAAATAAATTTTGTCTTTAATCCAGTCATAATCTGAACAGAGCTACACTTTCATAGCTTCTTTATTAGATTTATTTAACTTTCCAAAAGAAGGTCAAGACAAAATGTTATATCTCAGGTGGTATCTTACAGTTACAGTTACAGTTATATCATTATCATAACACTTGTCTCTGTGCCTGTCTCTCTTCCCAGCGTTCTGGTCCTTCATGTGGTTTGTGGGTTTCTGCTTCTTGGCAAACCAGTGGCAGGTGACCAAGCATGAGGACAATCCACTGAGGGAGGGAGGGGATGCTGCCCGGGCAGCCATTACCTTCTCCTTCTTCTCCATCTTCACCTGGGTAAGTGCCTCCACACCTCACTGTATAACTAACAGTACAACACAACATGATATAATACCTGCCATTAGGTGGCGATGGTTAGTGCTATAGATGGCCTAAGAAGGGACTGAATACTTAAGATTATGGATCACAGTTCAACTCCTACTTTGCTTTCCAATTAGCTATTGAAAATGTTTATGCCTCGACTATTGTTCCTCCATCTTTTTTCTGGTTAGTGCTTGGATGTGTGTGAACCTTTTAATTTGTATGTGTACATGTGTACTCATAAATGTGTGGATGTTGTTCCAACAGGGTGCTCAGACTCTCTTCTCTATGGAGAAATTAAAGAATGTGTCGTTTGAAGAGGAATACACCAAGCTGTTTCCCCCTCAGCCCAATCAACCTTTTGTCTGACTCTGCTTTGTCTTCTCCCCCTGCTGCCTTAACCATCCACAGCTGGTCCTACACACTCCTGTTACTTACTACTGTGGCTGCACTTGTTTAAGGGTGCCCCGTAACATGAAATAGTGCTGGAAGTAAGCGTATAAGAACAGTTTTACCATCAGTGTTGGCAGTAGGATGTTGTTGTTTTTGCCTACCATAGTTAAATAACTTACTTCCTGACTCAAGCACATTATAATGATAATGTATGTGCAGGTGGGTTGATTCAATTGTTGATCAATAGGCATGACTCAACAGTTACATCGCCAAATGCTGAGATTTCTGGCCTTAATCCGTTTTGGTATGAAAGCTCCCAGCTTGCTGGAATTTTAAAATGCTCCTAACCAAAAACTAATATTACATATTCATGTAGATGTCTTTTTAAAATTTTGATAGAACAAGGGGTCAAAAGATAAAGAAAAGCCTGCATACTGAATATATCTTTTGGTATATTTGGTTATTCAATTTTAAGATGTTGACCACAAAAACTTTTTTGTTCTCCATCTGCCGTGTGCTTTTCTGTTTTGGTTTTTGGCCAGTTTTTACTTAGTAGTCAAAGCAGGCAGGTCAGCAGTGTGTTGCTGAGGTGGGTAGGTGTATGGCAGGCACACACACACACACACACACACACACACTCTTCTCAGCTACCAAACCTGGAGCATTTAAACAAGTGCAGTCTCAATTTACAGAGCAGGTCACCACTTCCTCTCATCATTAACCTGAAGGTTTACAGAGTGATTTGTGCTTTGTCTTTTCACTGTAGGGGTTGGAATTATTAAGTTTTATATGAAACAGCTGTTTAAAACTTGATTCCTCTGATCATTGTAATGAGTTTTTATAAATTTGCATCGCTTAAAACTGTTAAAGTTTTGTATATCCATTGGTTTTTAATTACCTTAAAGGAATAGTTTCTGGCCTCTACATAGATGAGATGACTTATACCACTGTAATATGAAGCTTGAGTCAGTAGCTGGTTATCTAAGTTTAGCATAGAAACTGAAAACAGGGTGTAACGGCTCGGCTGTCGCTATCTGGAGTCAACAAAATCCATCTACCAGCACCTCTGAAGCTCTCTTGTTAGCAAATTATATCTCATTTGTTCAATTTATGCAAAGTAAAGACAACATTTTGGAGTGTTGTGGGGGGATATGTGCCGGACAGGTTCTTGGCCACGATCAGTTATGTCCTGTAGTGACAGGACTTCAACCAGCTGCTGGCACCAGCCTCATATTGACAGACACTAAATTAGATCAATCTTCTGTGTATTTCCCAGAATGTCAAACTATTACTTTGATTTCTCCAGTTTTGTGTTTTTTCTGTAACTCTATGCTTTCCGAACTTCATAACTATTTTATTACGTTTAGTAGCTAGATTAGTTGTTCTTTTTTATGGCTTTTGGAGATTGGCTTCGCAGTTTAAGCAGACAGTTTTAAGACAATTTAATTGAAGTATCAAACTGTTTTATAGCATATTCATAAGATTTTTATGGCTTGTAACTGTGCATGTTATTGGGTCATAAATACATTTTATTACATGAATACTAAATTTAAATGTTCCACATCCATATTAACACAAAACAAAATCTAAAATATTCAGTCAGTAAATTGTGTTATTATTTTCTCAAACAAGAATAATAACAACAGTTTATCTCAAAATGTATTGACTTGTTTTCTGCAATCAACCAACCCAATAAAATATTTGATGGAGACAGAGTGGTGTATCAGACTGAAAGAGTCCAAACCGACAGATTTGATCTGTCTGCAACATCTGATTGAGCCAAGACACACAAGTAAATAAAACCTTTGTGAAAGTTCCCATCACTGAGAGCTTGAATCAGCTCAGCTCTCTCTGTGGTTTTCTCTTTTCTCTCTGAGTGTGTTTGTGTGCTCATGATGTCTTTGGCTTTTGGCCACTGTTACCTTGAAACATCTCTAATTATCAACAAAAATGAGATTTGTGGTGTTTTATAGTGCATGGCTTCAGCTGTTTAATAATGCACGCAGTTACAGTTTAATTGCTTGGTCCCTTTCCCACTGTGGACTGGAGTGGTGCTAAGGTGGTGTTTCTCATTATGGAGCTCAACAATGAATAAATAGCCTCTTTGCACTACTGCCTATAGAACTAACTTGTTCTGACTGACTAAATGATTCTCTCATCGTATCTAATAAGCTTCACAAGCTTTCCAAGCCAACTAATCAATGTTTCCTTTTCTCTCTTTGTTCTCTCTTTTCTCCCAAAACCTCTGCTCTAACACCACTGCATCTCTGCTTCCCATTCTATCCATTTCTCCACCTTTCACCCATCTGTTTGCCTCCCTGTCGTCTTCCATCTGCGATCCCTCTATCCCCAAGGCGGGCCAGTCCTTCCTGGCCTTCCAGAGGTACAAGCTTGGGGCCGATTCAGCCCTCTTCTCCCAGGAATACACGGATCCCAGCCAGGACGCTGCCGGAGCCCCTTACACCTCCTTCGGTGGGGACGACCTGGAGAGCCCAGGAGGAGGAGGAGGGGGCCAGGCCAACAGCGACGGGGCCTTTGATGGCACCGGTGGCTACCAGCGTCAGGACTACTGAGATATTGGGGGGGAAATCACATCACTATCACACTAAAAATACTGAGTCAAAATTGACGCAGTTTGGGTCAACATGGCACCGATGCAATACCAGTACCAATGGGTAGTTTTGACCCAGTGTTAGACACAATGAGCTTAAAGGTAAACCTTTTTCAACCAGCTTTCTATCATTATAACATGGGTAGTGTATGCAAATGAACAATGTTTACCTTCCTTCCATGTTGCCTGCACCTACAGCTCCTCATGCATTTGTCAGAAGAAGTCTTTTTCCTATTTTAATAAAATTGTCCGTGGAGGCTAGGATACAAAAAAAGCATAAGTACAATCTGTAGTTCGAACAACAGCCGTAGAGCCAAGGAGAGTCAGGTGGACTTTTGTCAGCAAATAAAGGGGAAGCTCTGGGTGCAGGCAACATGGAGAGAAGTTAAATATTGTTTATTTGTATATACTACCCACGTCGTAAGGATACAAAGCTGGTTGAAAATCAGCAAAGTTTCTCTTTAAGCTTGAAAACTGTCACAATTTTTTAAGTGTACAAAACTGCAAAGGATACACATTGTTATTAACAGTAAGTAATATAAAAACATTTACACTAAGTTAAAACAACACATTGTCTTGGGTGGTTTTCTATCCATGGGTACTGGGTAAAGTTAATACAGTATTGCATTGGTGCTATATAATTTTGATTGAGTGATTATTAGTGTGTACATGCAACAATTAATGCATTTAGCTGGGGGAAGAAGTTAGTGGATTTCACACCCATGACACTTCAGTGATTGGGATGATTTCCTACTGTATGTATGATAAAAAGCAGAATTTATCTCTAGGGCAATTGTAATTGCAACAGATTTTGAGAGGCAAATCTAACCTCGGGGGGTGGGACAGGATGTCAATTAGGTGTGAGTCTGCAGTAGAACAACAGCAAGGGGTTCAGGACATCCATGGGAAAGGGTCGTGGGATGCAGAGAGACACTCGATGCGGTTGTAGATGTCAGTGAAAGTTTAGTCGGGAAAGTGGGAAGAATTCTGAGTTATTGCAGAAGCGGTCACCCTGTAGCAGATCAGTGCTTGTGACCACATTGCCTTCATCTTCTGAGGTCTGCTGTCAATCAGCATTGAAACACAGACACACACACACACACAACAAACACACACATGCAAGCACACGTTCACAGAGTATCGAGTTCCTGCTGACAAAATTCCTTAGATGTGCATTACAGGACCTCAGCGTAGACAAACAAGCAACATTGGCATATCTGGCAACTGATCCCCTCAACTGTAACACTGGAGTATGTTTGTGTGTGTGTTGAAAGGTCTCTTTTGGGTTTTAATGATGTGTGGATGTAAGGACAGTGTGTGTTATCTTGTTTCCCTAAAGAACCCGCTTTTTATTTTCTCAATTGTTGCCTTAGTGCTAACTGCCAAGCAAAATCCGACGAACACAGGGCAAAGTATACCCTACATGCACAGTATCACAGTTCCCTTTGAGCATCTTTAGAGCGAAAACATAGCTAATGGAATTGAGTCTTGTTTTTGTCCTTAAGCACGTAAAAATGACACAGAAAATGACAACACTCATATCAGCGGGCCTACAGACAACTTACTACACTAAAGAACTGCAGGTGATTTACCTATTGTGTTTCGCTCTTTATTTCAACAAATCTACAGATGAGGCAACCATGAACATCCTGAGTATTTATGACCATGCATTGCTCCATTTTCTTAAAGAATAAAGTATATCTATCTCTCTATAAATATATGTAAATCTATAATTCAGCATATTAGAGTGTTTAAAAAAAATTATGCTTTATTTTAGGGCATTATGCTAGTTCTGTATAAAAAAAGAAAAGAAAAGAAAGAAGATCTATGTTCTGTTGAGTGTTATTGTGGTAAGATATATGGTGAGGTTATCCATGCCTCATCCTTTATGTTGCTTTCAGGGTAAGGAGATGTTTTTATTTTGGGATAATAATACTAACTATAAAAATACAGCAACAAAAAATGTGACCAAATTATAAGTATATATGCATATATATATACTTTATACTGTACAACTGTGTAGACGTAGAAATGTGTGATGTTCCTTTGTGAAATCTGTTCAAAAGTTAAGATTTAAGAAAAAGATTGTGTACAAATGTATGTTTTTGATGTGTTCGATTTTAACCAATGAAAATAAAGAAAACACTGATAAAGCTACAAATGACTTTGACGTTTTTTTGAGGGATTTTAGTTGCATTTTCATTGCCATGCTCAGTTATTTCTGATTGTTTACAACCTGTTAAGATGCAGTGAAAATGATCTTTAAATCTGTTTAACTTTTGAATCTTGAGAATCAACTAGTGTGGCACTTACATCTACAATGCAATACAAATTCAAACAACACGAGTCTGCAAAGTAACGCATATATAGATATATTGTATATTGTAGATAATTAGAGTTTGTAGTCCAGTAGTCATACCGAGTACGACACAAATGTGGCTCGTTTCCCTCCACTGGCAAGAATTGTACCTGTAGTCATATGTAAGTGCAGATTTTACAAGAAGAGCTTTTGTTTTGGTGAAATGATAACACATTTCTAACTCTTTTCATTCCTCTTACTCCCCCTGCTCATCAAAACAGTGGATTGCATTAGACGGAAGCTGCTCAGCAGTGTGTTACGTCCTGACTTTAAGGTCATCTACATTAGTTTCCTAAATTCTAAGCATATAATAAGCTTTAAAAAGACTTTTAACAAAGACTAAGATTAAGTTTGGTGCATCATCCCAGATATCGATGTAATATTAGATTAGATACATGTATTATTATTTTACCAGAATAGACAATGTTTGAGAAAAGTAAAACTTCCAAGTGTACTTTTTTAAGGCCCGGAATTAACTTCAAAAATGGCATAACTCAAAACAAAGGCCCAAGAGCTATGGGCAACATGTTGGGTTGGTAGTTAGTGTTGAAGTTCATCATACACCCACACGGTGGCGATGTTGTCAAAGAAATTCAGCATAGCAACAAAGCGGAAATGGTGCTTGTTAGTTTTATAAATCAATTAAATGAATAACTATAATGTGAACCTGGGGTTTTGGTAGCAACTGGACAGAGAACTTTTATAATTTCTCACTAAAAAATAAAAAAAATTCAAGTGAGTTCGACAAAGTTACACATATGTTGCCTTCAAGTGCTGTGGGAAATTTAACGATTGATTGATAAAATATGGATATATAAAACGCCACAAGATCATGAGGAGGGAAGACATTTTAGAAGAGAGCATACAATCAACAGCCTATTTTAAAATATCAAGTCAATAATGTTGCACTGGTTTGCACAAAGTTGCTAAAATACTATGCGTATTACACTTTCTAAGATCCCATTAGTAACTGTGAATCATCATAACAGCCACGAAGAATGCGGCACAGAATAAAACGGAATATAATGTTTATTCTATCATCAATTATTTCCCTCTTAACGTAATAACAGGTACTTCTCAGCCACCTTGACACTGGGAATGTGGAGCTTACGATGAGTCCCTGAACGCAACGAGTACCGTCCAACATGGCGGCCCAGCGTAGGAATTTGATGCAGAGCGTGAGTGAAAACCTCAGCTTTTATTCCCTCTCACTGACAGTACTTTGGTCTCTTGTCTCTCCCCCGGTGGTCGTCTTTGTTGGTGTTTGTTGTGTTCAGTGTCTCCTGTCGTACAGAGATGCGAGTGAGTTTAAGAAGTGGTTTGCTAACAGCTAAGCTAGCCCAACTTTAATCTCAAAATAATGAGATTTAATTTTTGTCTCATCAACAAAGCTCACCTGAGATTAGTAAAGGTAGGAGGGGGGGTAACTGTGTGACCATTGCCCCGCATTGCTTTAACACCATCAGTGAATTACCCGAGGTTAACTAACGCTAGCTAGCTACTTTGTAGAGATGGTGGCTGAGAGGAACCATTTGCATTTTGCGTTTGTTAAACTACCTTGTTATTAGTTTCACTCCTCCTCGTGATATTAGTGATATCGTTTTAAATCAGACTGGGCTCTGTAACCCAGGTCGGAGAGGAGGTCGGTCTGTGGGTGGATGTAAAGTTGAGTTATGGAAATCAGAATCAGTTTTACTGGACAACTGTGTGTGCAGACGTAGAAGGAGTTTGACTCCGGTTTAAGCTGCTCTCAGTGTACTGATAGATAGAGAGAAACAGCTAAATACAGTTTAAAAACAAGGACAACACAGCTGAACAAAGATTGGTAAACATACAGAACTATAAAGCACATACAAGTAGAGAAACAAAATAGGTATGTCTATATAGAAATGAATATAAATAAATATTGAACTGATACACATTAAGTTGGTGGTTATGTACAGTATGTGCATATGTGTCTTTATACAGCCTGCAATTTTAAATCATTATTTATTATTTGAAACTGCGTGGAAATACACATTATTACTCCATAACGCATCAAAGACTTGTGCTTAGTAGTGTCAGCCTGTTACACACATACAGCATGGTAATGCTTTAAGGTAATCCCGGCCAGGCAGACTTATTAACAGTTTCATATACAGGACAGAGTTATCAGTGAAAACATACACCACAATGCAAAAAAAAAACCCCACCAAAACATGGATTATAAGACAACCTGCTCACTAAAGAAAGTAGGGAACACTTTCTAGAATAATTGGGAGAGATAATAATAGTGAAAACTGAATGTCTGCCTTACTGTTTTAAACTGTTCATCAAAGTGTTTGTAAAGACAGCACACTTCTTCATGATACTTCATACTGTCACTATTTCTATTTCTGAGGTGAACTAAACCATAAATGTAGTTTACCCCAAGCAGATTTAAGCAAATATTGCTTTCATATATTAGTTAACCTACAACAACCTTTTTTTTTTTTCTTTTTAACTACATGTGCTATAATATAGAGAGAACAGCATCAGAGCTGGACAGATGACCTGCCGCTGTGTCAGATGTGTGGGGTTGGCACTGCACCCAACTGTGTTTACGGCCCCGATGGTAAAGGAACTCAGAGCCACACCAATGAGGATGGACACCTCAGGTTCAGGTCAGACACTCTGGAAACACAAACGCTCTCAATAAGAACAGAGCATGGAAAGTAATTCAGACAAAAAAAAGGTATAATGTCATGCCTGGGGTGATAACCACTGTTTGCATCTCAGATGGAAAGTTGACTGTGGCTACACCCGTGCCAATGCATGCTGTCATCAGTGCAAAGTTATTTGTGATTTTATTTTTATTTTTTTGCTTGTGAACGTGCACGACATTGCTTGCCTCATCATGGTTGTCATATGTATCCAGCCATCGTTACATATACAGCCCATTATAGTGTTTGATAGTTCTCATATGTACTGTGTGAAGTGTCAGCACAATGAAGAGTTTTATTGAGGCAGCTATGCTTTGCAGTAGCTAGTAACAAACACTAAATCTGGAGGTAACTTAAATAGAGGGTGTGCAAATTGTCTGGTTACTGTCAGTTTTGACTATGATGTGATTAGTTGTTCTCAAACATGACATGTCACATAACCCCAAATACAAAAGCATTAGGCTGCCCACCCTTCTGAACCCTCCAATGTACACAGAACACAATACAATCCTAAGAGTTTTTAAATAAAGGATGTTTTATTCAAAAGAAAAAAAAAAGTCAAACTCCCACTTCCCCTGTTGAAGCGAAACAGAAGCCAGAGTTTGTTGTGTTTCTTCTCCACCCATCAGAGGCGAGGATGGCTGTTTCCTGTATGGGGTTTTTAACGGCTATGATGGCAGCAGAGTGGCCAGTTTTGCCTCCCAGTGTCTGACAGCTGAACTACTGCTAGGACAGCTCAACTCCAGTCACACAGACAACGACGTCCGCAGGATTCTCACACAGGTCTGCGTGTGTTTATATTACATACATAATGATAGCAAAACAAGTCGTATGACGTGTTTATATTCTAGGTAGAGTGAGAAATAGACTTTTACCCAAATCAGTTAAAATACTCACTTCTAAAGTCCCTTCTTTTAAGGCCAGACGTGTGATTTAAATGTAACACCTCACCCAAGTTACTGCATGAAATGAGAAACACACAAAATGCGGATCTGACATCTATTTCTCAGACCCAAAAGGCAAATGAGACGAGACATCTGTTTAAATAAGGCAGTAACAGTATACATTTTCAAAAAGTTCCCCCGGTAAGGCAATCATTCATAGTGCACTTGGTTATACATACAAAAAGAGATAAATAAATAGTTGTATAATGAAGGAAAGAAGAGCTTTACAGAAAGAAGTTGAACCCCTGCTTTAGGGATGGGAATCGAGAACCGCTGCCAAATTGTACAATCCATTGTCTCAGAGTTTATTAATTCCTTTTATCAGTAACAGCATGTGTTTCTGACAGTGGCAAAACAATGACATCAAACTGGCTGTTGGAAACTTGCAACAACAAGAAACAGTCCAAAGCATAGCCTCATTTCACAAAGAAACTCAAATGACTGTAATTCTGCACTATATTCAGATAATAAAACGGTTGCGTTGATGCTGAAAACCTGTTTTGGCCTACTTTATTCCACACAGAAAATTGAACAGGAATCAAAAAAGGAAATTGAAAAAAAAGAATTGGACTGATAAGCACAATCAATAATGGTTCCCGCTTCCATCCCTAAACCTGCTTACTTTCTCACCTCTGCAAACCTCGACTATCTCTGTGTGAAGTTGCAGAAGTCGGCAGACAGTAAGCTGTATCAAAGTAAATCACGTTTTGGTCAGACTCATTTGTGGTTGTTAAATGCAAAACAGCATTCCATTGACAAGCTAACCCGATCAGGCAAGGTGATCGTTTACTGCAGTGTGGATGTTTTCGCCTTGATAAAGATCACCCAGGGAGCTCTAAAATAGTTACTCCTGTTCACATGCATTTCTACAATATTTAGAGATTGTGCTTTGCATTGAAGTGCTGTACAATCTGACCTGGATAGTTGCCAGCTTTGTGTCATCCAGATACATGTTTTTGTTGTCGCAGGCCTTTGATGTGGTGGAGAAGAGCTACTTTGAGACGATAGATGATGCTCTGGCTGAGAAAGCTAACCTGTCCAACTACCTCCCACCACACAATGAGGTACACACACACACACACACACACACGCTCTGCAAAGCATATTGACAGATTAAGCTGAAAATTGGAGAGAGGAGTTCTCTGTTGGTTTCCATAGCAACCGCAGATTTGGGTAT